GGCGAGCTGGCCCGTGTCCTCTGAGGGGAGCAGGTGGCCAGGGCGCCTTTGCTGCCACACCGTGGCTGTAGTGCTGGGTTGCAGCTGTCGTCCCTGCTCCTCTCCTGCTGTCCTCATCGTGCCAGGCTGTTTTCTGTCTGGTCTTCGTGTGATTGTGCCCTGCGGTGGCCCCTGGGCGCACATGTGACTGTGCCCCACGGTGGCTTGTGGGCACACGTGTGACTGCCCCATGGTGGTCTCTGGGTGCTCGTGGCCCTTTGTCCCCAGAGCACCCCTGCTCTGCATAGAGCCTTACCCTCGGCTTGTCCTGTGACGCACTGCTCGGTCAGCCTTGCCTGTTCAGATGGTGCACGTGTTACGATAGTCACTCTTCCTCCTGTCATGCGTGTAACTGCAGGGCTGTGCCCTGCTGCAGCTTCCGGCACCCTGCCCTGTCTGAGCTGCCGTGTGGCCTTCTGTTGAGCGTGAGGCGTGCGCTCTCGCTCCCTTCCGAGCACTGCTTGGGAAGCAGGTATGGGGATGTCCCATCATTCCTCCCTCGGGCCTGCAGGTTTTGCTAAGAAACCACTGGTAGTACTGAGGGTCCCCCGCACGTGACAAGCTGCCGTCCTTTCGGCCGTGTTCACGGTGCTCATTCTCCGATTCCAGCACATCTTGGGACACGGTCGCTGGGAGAGCGGCTCCTGCATGTTCGCCGTGCAGGGTCAGTAGGGACCCCTCTCCTGCAGGCCCGGAGTCTCCAGGAATCCAGGAGCCTGTGTACTGTACGGAGTAGTCATGTTGCCCCCCCCCCCTACACACACACACACGCCAGGGCCCTGCATCGCAGCTTTCCTAGGTCGGAGTTCAGCCTCCTGGGGGTCCCGCCAGGACCTGGACCAGTGCAGAAGAGAGCAGCGTGGCCCCGTGTGCACTTGCTCCTGGCCCCGGGCTGCCGCGCCCCGTGTGTACTCGCTCCTGGCCCCGGGCTGCCATGCCCCGTGCTGGCCCCGGGCCGCCCGTCCCCCTCCCTGCCAAGAGCTTCCGCAGAGGCAGCTGGGAGCCATGCCCTGGAGCCATGCTCCCAGTGCCCTGGCTCCCTGTCCTGGCTCACGGCGCGCAGCCGGTGGTTTACCCGTCAGGCCCTAGAGGTAGGTGCTCTTGGCGTTCCGCGGTCGCTTCTGGGCAGGAGCATCCACAGAGATGGTCACCGTTGAGGGCTGAGCCTCCAGGGTGGCGGCTGCCAGTCAGGCCGAAGTGACATGCCAGGCCCGGACCCTGCCTGGCTCTCGCTGGCCCACTGAGCGAGACGGCCCTGCCGCTGGGGCCACCCTCCCTTGGGGCTGCATGGGAGCGGGGCCCTTAGGGCCGGGGCCAGCAGCGTGTGTGGCCATGACCATCAACCAGGCTTCGCTCCCATGGGTCTCACCCGGATCCGGGGCGCCTCCCCCCGGAAGCGTGTGTTGAGGCACTCGTTACTCTGCACACACGTGGGAAAGCCGAAGCCGACACTCTGGGCAGCGTGGCTTCCGGGCTCGGGGAAGTGCCCTCGGGAGTGCTGAGGCCTCAGTGACGCAGGTCTCCCTCCCTCCCCACAGCCAGGACGGCGCCCCAGCACAAGCACAGCCGGCCCCCGGTGCCTATCTCCAACGCCACCAAGCGCAGCTTCCTGGGTGGCCCTCCCGCCGCGAGCCCCGCTGACCCGCAGCCGCCGGCCCCGCTGCCGACTGAGAGCTGCCACAGGCACTGCCTACACCCTGACGAGGCCGAGCACCCGTGAGTCTGCCCCGCCGCTGTCAGGGCTTTCCGTCTCGTCCCCGCTTCCTGTTCAGTGTCTCAGCCAGTACCCCCTTTTCAGTAGGTAGAGTGCGTGGGGGCGTCGGAGTGACAGGCACTGGCTTGCTCTGGGATTCCTTCAACTCCAGCCCCTCCGCAGCCACCTGAGCCCGGGTGCCCGCCCACTCCCAGTTCTCGGCTGCTTTAGGCCCCAGTGCCAAGCTGCTCCCTCTGATTCTTCTCCACCCTGGCCACACCTTCCCAGTTGTCCCTTTGTCAGTTTGCCCCCCGGGAACCCTGGAAGAGCCGCCTCCAGGGCACCAGTGCCGGGCAGTGGCTTTGCGTGGTACTGCCGTGTCCCCGCCGTGCTGAGCTGCACACACAGGTGCCTCTGCACTCTGGCCCTGTGCACACCGCATGCCCTCTTTTCCTTAAGCTGGAACCCCAGACGTAGAAAAGCTGCAGCTAGTTGAGAGCGTTCCGCGGGTGTTGCCGTGCTGTCCTCTGGAAATGCGAGCTTTCGCATGCCCACCAGCGTGACGCCCGCAGGCCTCCTTGCTCCTCCGTGCTCGGCACTGTGGGCTCGAGCAGCAGGGTCCTCCCGAGCCTCAGCAGCTCTCTGGTCCTTACAGAACCAGGCGTGTGCACCGTGGGGAGAAGGCATCCTCTCTGGGGGGCCGGTTCTTCTCGTTTTATTTCAGCTCATCAGAAGACAGCCTTAACTCGCACTGGGGTTTCCTGTCAGGGCCCAGAACTGGCTGTCTCACAGACCAACCAGGGGCCAGCATGTCTTCTGTTGGCAGTTTTTCTAATTACCAGAAAGTGCTTGTGCTCACAGACACTCAGAGGAGAGGGAGAGAGAGGGCAACCCCAGGGGGGTGTGGCCACGCCACAGCCCCCTCGCCTTTCCCCATCATGTTGCGATTTGAGGCGCACACACACGCGCACACACACGCCTGGTGTGTTTCAAGCCTACATGACTGGACTTCACACTGCAGCTGCCCGTGGGGACCCGGCGTCCCCTGAAGAGCACTCAGCTGCCATGCTCTGGGGCCAGCCCTGCAGTTTCAGTATTTACCCCAAGTCCGAAGTCCTTGCTATTCTGGTTCATCTTTAGTTTTTAAGAAATTGCCAGAGGGCGTGCACACTCGCCAGAGAGAGGGAGGGGTTTGGCACCTGGTCTGCTGCTCAAGCCGGCGGGACGAGGACTTGGCCCCGGCTCCCCTTAGCCAGCAGGCTGTGGGCAGGCCACGTCGCTTTTTCCTATGCTCGTGAGTTCCCCGGAGTCTGGTACTTCTCACCTGTTGCTGTGGATTTGGGATGGCTCTGTGCTGGCTTCTGCATTTACTCCTAAATTTGAAGTTTAATAAACAAACGACTCTCTCTCGAATTCTCTTTCCATTCAGTGGGAAAGGAACTTCTACCTTCAGTCCGTCTCATCCTTTGCTGCCCCTGAGGCAGAAGCAGCAGAAAGTGATGCAGGGAGAGGAGACCCCTGGTGAGAGACTGCCCTCCTCTGCCCCCCTCTGCCCTCCTCTGCCCCCCTCTGCCCCCTTCTGTCCCCCTCTGCCCTCCTCTGCCCCTCT